CGCGCATATATATATATATATATGGGTGTGTGTGTGTGTGAAAAGCAAATTTGAAATCTTCGGATTGTTTGGTGATAAACCAACAAAATGCTGCATGGTCTTGATAAAAATAAAAAAATAAAATAAAGGAGGAACAAGGTCACCGTTATTATTGACTATGCATCATTTACTTTTGCAATTAAATATATTATCTATTCAAATTATTAATTTATAATCCTATTCAAATCTTGTATATGAAAGCTGACTGGAGTATATGATCACCATAAAGAAAACGAGTGAATCTGATTAAAGAAAACATTAACAGCTCGGAGACATATCTTCATGGTGTTTGGTGATAACTTTTTGTCAAACCAACATAGTGCTAACGAAATTATTCAAACTCCGTACAAGATTTGGCAAATCTCAATATTATACGATAGTGTAATCACTTCATATATCTCATTGCCTGAACATTTTTTGGATCGTCATATCATTTTAATAACAAATTAATAATCTATCTTTCTTCAAATTGTTTACCTAATACTATCATTGTCGACTCATTTAACACGATTTATCACTCGTTCAGGAATAAAAAATCAAGGAAGGAAGGAAGGAAATCGCCCAAATAAGAATATTTAAGAACACCTCTCATGAGTGCAGCTTGCTTTTGTAAGTTTCTATAAGTTATAATGCATAATGTTTACGTATATGACATCCTTTTTCATGGTTCAATTTTTACCCTTTATTTTTTTATATACTTTGAAAAATTAAAAAAATCCAAAAAATATATTGTTTCCGTAATTTTAGTTAATTTTAATCTTTTCAATATGTTTTTATTCTTATTTAATTTCTATATGTCAAGAAAATCTTGAAAATCATAAAAAAATAAAAATACATCCCCGTAATTCCTACCAAAAAGCCTTTATAAAGCATTATTTTAACCATTACAATAATATTGAGTCTTCAACTCTTCAGGACATCAATATTAAGAGTAGTCATTATTTTTCATTTTCTAGTATTGAATAATTTTATTGTAAAAATTTAATTACGTACTTTACATCATGTATTGTTTTAAACTTTCAAGCATTTCAAAACTTGTATTGTAAATGTGTTGGATCAAAGCCCCATTATTTCATCCATTTGCCTATATGATAAAACATCATCTTTTTCTTTATTTCTTTTTTCGAAACATTTTCTAATTTGCAGTCGTCTTTATCACTTGTTTCATACACATTTATAGTCTTCATATTTTTAACATAATCTTCTGACATGAACTTATCTTCACACTTTTGATTTTTCACTTAATATCAATCTTCATAATTGTCATCAATTCCATCCATGATAACACTTCAACATTGTTAGGAAAATATACATGATTGATTCAAATAAAATAAATCCAAAAAATCCTTAAAAAAAGACTTAAAAAACATCATTTATGCTCGAACTACCAAACCCAAACTTTATATATAGTTAGGGGCAAAGCAAATGAGCCCAAACATAATAATATGAGCTCATGCATGATAGTATGAGCTCATACCTAGCCAGGTGTATGGGCTGAGCCCATCCTAGGATGAAAACATAAGAACATGCCTGACATGCTGTCCAGCATAGATTCGAGGCACCCCCTAACCCAATATGCATGGATACAATCAGCACTCATGGATGCATTCTTTTTTTTTTAATGAGCTTGAGCACCTTGTTGAAGTTCAACACTCGTCAAAGATTTTTTTTTGAAACCTCACACAAGTCTCTTCTCACCACAAAAGAATAAGGTTTATGAGATATAAATATATCATGAATCCTTCAAGATAAAGGTTTACAATCTCATCTTTTTCAATATTTTCAGCACATATATTTTTAAAATTTATCACTTAAATATATCATTGCAGCTTATCTTTAATGACTTTACCATTGGAAAGCCCCTATATCTGTCAAGAAGGACTTTTTATAGGTATCAATTATAAATTACTTGACTTATCAGACATCGCTTGATACTACCACAACTATTAGATATTGCTTGAATTTCTCACATCAAGTCATAAAACATCTTAACTATAAAGAATAAATTAAATTGTTTAAACTAAAAAATAATTAATTATCTAACATATAAATATTATTTTTAAACGTCTTGAATTTTCTTGTGATACTTTAAAGCAATATCGAAGATACAGAGAAATATTGTCTTGTATTTCCAAAATGAAGTTTCATATATTATCTCTAGCATTATTTGTTCCACGTGAAGTACTTGCCATTGGATTTAAAGCAACTGGCCGTCTAAGACTAATACAAAGATATCAAGCGTCTTAGATAGCAAAATAATTAAGAGACTCTTCTGAGGATAGTCGAATAACATGTTTAATATTGTGTAAAAGAGAGAGAATGAGAGGATAGTCGTTTCCTAACATCTGAATAATTGATATACCACACCATTATTTGTGCAAAAAATATAATGAATTCTTCAAAAATCGTGACTTTTAGAGAGAAGAAAAAGAAGAGAAAAGAACATGTACATGAATAAACTAATTACAGAACCAAACATCCAGTTATGGCTTCAAGCAGTACTGTCATAAACATGCGGTTTAATACTTAATCTGATGTTTAATCAACATCCGTTCATCACGTCAAATGGATATTTTCAATATCCGGACTACGCTTCAACTTCATGCCCAAAACAAAATTAAAAAAGATACCATTTTCAACTTTCATTCTTCACACTTTAGTCCTTTTAACTTTTCGTTTTGATCACAAACTCTTTTAGTATCGCAATCTAACCCTTGAATTTAATTCATCTTATACGTTGGATTCAACGGTGCCAAATGCTTAGCTATTTTCATAAACTTAAAAAACTAAAGATCTAATTTAAAAAAAAAAAAAACTTTATAAGGGTTTCAGATTATAGTAATGATAGAAGTTTAAAATATTTTTCACTTATATTTACATTAAAATAAAAATATTTTTAACATCATCATATTAAATAATTTTAAAAAATTCATTTTATATATAAAAAAATTAAAATTTAAAGGAAGATGATTACCACATTCCAAACACACCCTTTGTATGTATGAGTGAGATGTGGGCCATACTCCCTGCGGCGCTATCCAAAGCAGTGATTAGTTCCTCTCCAGGTTTTACAGCTACACTTCTTTCTATATAAAAACAAGCCAAGCAAGTGTTTCACTCATCATTTTATGTGTTATAGATTGCCCACTCGAAAACCATATATTATCATTGCAAACTTTAGAAACTGAAAACATGTCTCTGAAGGGTGAGCTGGAGACTGTCATAGAAACTAAAAACATGTCTCCGAAGGGTGAGCTGGAGACTGTCAAAGAAACTAAAAACATGTCTCTGAAGGGTGAGCTGGAGACTGTCATAGAACTTAAATCATCTCCTGAGAAGTTCTTCGGTGTCTGGAAGACCCAAGCCTATCATATCCCCAACCACTCTCCTGACAATATCCATGCAGTTGATATGCATGAAGGTGAATGGGAAACTGAGGGTTGTATCAAGATCTGGAAGTACAGTATAGGTAAGTGTCGACAACAATGACATGTTTCCATGTGTAGTACTGTCTATATATGTTTCAACAACCCAGAAGAAAACCCTAAGGTGTTGTAAGGAAAAAACTAAAACTCAAAGGTGTTGAATATATTATATATGGGCCGTTATGCATGCTCAATCTCCTAAATGATTTTATCTGCTAAACTTTGCCATAAAAATTGATTCCAAATGGCATCATATGTAATTGATAGCGGCCAGTAAATATTTGACCAGAATGATCCCTGACAAGTTTATTTTCTAACAATATTGATACCTTTGTTGCTCGTTGAATGCTTCCAATGGCTGATGAATTTGTATATTTAATTACTTATTACTCTACATCTATCATACATTTTATTTTTTTGGGACCGATGATTTCATTCTCTTTTCTTGACTTCGGCTCTTGAGCTTAAACTCTTGCTGGCTTGTTTTTTTCCTTATTAGGAGTATCCACTCTCTTTCCTTTTTCTACGTAATTGTAATTATAAAACAATCAATACTACTTCTACTTGTCTCACAAATTCAAAACTAAATAGACTAAGTTTTATACAGACAACGTCTTATGCCTTTGCCATGATTTGTCAGTCGCTACACGTTCATGTGCATGATTTCCTGCACACCAAGTGGTCCTATCATAATCATCCAAAGCAGTAGATTTTTTTTTTTTACTTACTAATACCTATTTTTCTGTGAGATTTAATATCCTATATATGTTTGAACGTATTTGTATTATATATATATAGTTGTCATTAGAATTGGGTCTAATTCACTCATGTCAAATGAAAATCGGTATATAGATGGAAAACAGGAGGTCTTTAAAGAGAAGGTGGTAGTGGATGAAGAAAAGAACACACTGGCTCTCACTGGCCTGGAAGGAGATGTCATGACTAGATACAAACTATTCAATCCCACCTATCATCTTACACCAAAAGGTGATGGAAGCTTGGCCAGGCTGATCGTTGAATATGAGAAACTGAACGAGAATATCCCAGTGCCAGACAAGTACATGGATTTCATGATAACTGTTACCAAAGATATCGATGCAAGTCTTATGAAGGCATAATAATGGAAAGAAGAGACAATCTTTCCTTTTGAAGGAAGACCTCCTTGAAAGACTTACCTCCTGTTTATAAATCCGTGTAATCAATAATGTGTGCTCGCTGAGGAGAGCGACAAGCCCAGTGTGCTGGTTTAATTTGTGTGTCATGTACTCTGTAAGTTTTATTTGTGATGCTGTTGTGAGATCAACAACACTATTAAGTAAAGTAAGATCTGTAGAGTATTAATTATTGGAGTGTCTAATATATAAATAAAATATATTGTAAAAGATTACACTCCTTTTCAGCAAATCTTTATGCCAACCAAACCGCATTCCTTGTCTCCCTGTATTGTATCAAAGCTATTCATTGTTTTTTAGCTCTTTGCTATTTCTTAATGATTGTTGAATGGGATTCAACTCATGCAATCCACTTTGGACCCGCTCTTGGCACAGATAGTAGCACGTGGCTCTTGAAAATTTGATTTCAAATAATAGAACGCCAGGCATGGGCCCTCATGCCAGATTCGGCGCATCTCTCACATAATTTATATTTTAACTCAAATAAATACAAAAATTTATTAAAGAATACTGGACGAGGGTCAGTGAATTTTCTTTATTGTTGTTTTTAATATACTTTTTTAAATAAAAGTATTTTAAGATTAAAATTTACCATTATTTATATTTAATTAATTTTAAAATAATAGAGATGATGAGATTTAAAATCCTAAATACTTGTTAATTAAGTCTTTGTTAATATATCAAAAAATTATCTTAATTCAAAACATTAAAATGTTGTGTGAAATATAATAAACGATACACCCAAAAAACAGGTTTCTTCAGTGGAAAAACTTGACGCAAGGTCCAGAAGGAGATGACATGTACAATATAGTAAGTTAACAACACATCGTCCCAGGTGTCTTCTTCACGTACAAAGACAGTTTTACCCTCAAATGCAATCAACAGATTTTCAAACATGACAAAGAAATGAAAATTAATTTCTTAAAAAAAATCCACAATTTTTAAGAAATGAAAGAAATAATGCTTGAGTATTTGATAATTTCTTATAAATTTTAAATTTCTCAAAATTACAATCTTGAACGTTTTTCAAATCTTAGCTGTTGATTAATTTTAATTTTTTTATTTTTTAAAAAATTTTGCATATCATGATTTTATTACTGTATTTAGATTTTCTAATTACTAGTAAGCTTTTTCAAGATTTTCTTGCATTTTGAGTATCCTAACTTGAATTGTATTAAATAAAATTAAAGACAATAAAACACAGTTTTTTCTATGGAATTCTAATATTTGAAGTAGTTCTCACTTGAAACTTTTTTGTCGCTTTTCTATTTTTTCTTTTAACATAAATTTTTTCAAAAAAAAAGTAGTCTTCTTAATTAATGTATCCTTTAAAAAAGTAGTCTTCTTAATTAATGTATCCCCATGTTGGATTAAACTATAAAAAACATATATTTTTTATATAAATCTAGATAAAATGCAATTTCTTATAAATAAATATCTAGTTAATGATTCCCAAAGTAAAATTTATAACCCAAAAATGAAAAATTTTATCTACTTAGTAAATTGTTTTTAACAAACTAAAACTCTTAAATAAATTTTTTTTTTGTTATTCACAATAACTTTTTAATCTAGAAACTTAAATAACTGTTTTATTTAATATATAATTTTAATTATTAAGATATGAATGATAAATTTAGTTCTTAATAATTTTACAGATAATTATATGTTATAATGGCATTATTTATTGATTTTTTTTCATTGAAAAAACAATATAAGAAAACAAGAAATAAAAGCAGGCCCAGAGAGCCAGGTCTTCGGTTCAGCAAGGCCAGGGCCCAGGAACTATTTTGGATTGAAAAAAAAATTAAGAAACACATTATTATTAAAATTACAATTTAACTCATAAAATCATGTATCTAACATGTAAAATTAGACTAAAAACTTCAGACCAGTAAAATCAGACTTAACTCATGTAAAATTGTTAAAATTGATAAACTCGGTCTGGTTTTACGAGTTTACTAAAGTTGTTATATAAACTAAGTCAGATTCAAATTTGACCTTAAAATATCTATTGATCAGTTTTGCGAGATTATGCATATCTTTCAAAACCGTATATTGGATAAACCTAAAATTTTATAGAAAAATATTAAAAACATAAAAATATATTGTTGTTGCTACCTAATTTTTGATCCATGTTTTTGATAAATTTTTAGAAAAAATAAAAAATAGGAAAAAACAATGAAAAACCCCAAAAAATATATTTTGATATATTTACATTGTTTTTAGCATTTTCAACGTCACCTTAGAAGAATATAAATTTTCAAAGGTATTTTGAACGCGTTCAACTTTTAACGCGTTAATTTTACAATCACTGATTTTTCTTGTTGAGTCGACGTTGATATTACTTGTTTTCTAAAAAATTCAAAAAAATACAAAAAAAATCAAAATTTACAAAAAAAAAAGAATGAAAATAGAAGGAAAAAAAAGTTAAGGGACTAGTTTGAAAATATAGCAAAATTTTGGCTATAAATACTAGTCTACAGTAAAAGAGATGAAGAAGGACAGCCAGAAAATTAACAAGGGGGCAATAGAGAAAAAACCCTAAAAAAGGCCCTAACCCGATACTCTGATTTTTCAAGAGCAGAGCCGTCGCCGCCCCTCCAACGGTGGTTTCCTTTCCCTTCTCCACCCAGCTATTCCCTCTCCCTGCATAAAAGAAAACCAAAGCTTTCCCCTTCCCTTGGTTTTTGGGGAAAGCAAATCGGAGAGAACCAAAGCCAACCAGTCAGCTCCTTCTTGTGATTGAGTCCCTCATTCTCACCATCTCCCGGCCGATACCCTCATCTGCTTCTCCCTTGCTCTCTGTCAAGGCAAACTAGAGCCACCTCCCCTTTCAGTGACAAAACCGAGCATCTCCCGACCTTCAATAGTGGCAGTTTCTGCCCATCCAAGACAACCCCTTTATCTCCCCGCAGATTGGCCTCCACAGATGCTAGCCACCACCTCCAGCGAGCTTTATCGTTGCCCATAATCCATCATCGGTGCAGATCGATGTGCACCGAAACCAACCCGGAGCAGCCCGAACACAGCAGCCACCCACACACGGGTGAACTCACAAATCGTCTCCTTCCACATCAACTGACCCTCCGTCACCAGTTCAAACCCATGTAGCAGATCTAGACTGCAAGCCAACGGCCGGATTTGCCACCAGCAGAGGGAAACGAACTGAGAGGAAGAAAAAGACAAAGAATGGTCTGATCTAAAGGAAGGAAACGATTAAAACCCATTGCTATTTGTGCGTTTTCTTTTTGTTGCAGGTGACAGATTTCCTCGCTGCTGGCAGGAAAAGGAAGAGGGGAGGAGGCTGTTACAACCCCCCTATTTCCCAATGTTTATCACGGTGGCACGTGGGTTAATGGCGGGGGGGGGGGGGGGGGGGCACACGCCGCCACTATCCCTACTAATCCAGGAGCCTACCCCGCATTTCTAGAATGTTCTGGGCTATTTTTGTAATTTCTAGTTTGGTTTAATGTAATTTTTGTTTTATTTTAAAATGTAATAATTTGTAACATGTAAATGTGGCATGCGGGTGTATGGAAAAAATAATAAAAAGAGATGAGTGTGTGCTTGTATTTTCATTTATGTTATTAAGTTATAAAAATAAAAAAGACAAAAAGAATTAATTGTTTAATTTTAATATGGTTAAATATCTCAAGGACAAATAAAATCGTGTTATATTTTCTATGAAAATGTAAGAACATGTTTCAACATATTCTGGAATTTAATAACTGATTTATTAAAACCTTAGAATTTGATTAATATTTCAAATGTTCAAATCACATCAAATCGCAAAGCAGCTTACCTTAGGTAGGGTGTGCTAGGGATGCTAATACCTTCCCCAACCACAACCAGTCCTTTACCCTCGAATCTCTGACAAAGACCAGTACATCTAGGTTTCCTAGTAACCCTCAATACAATACTAGGCGGTGACTTCCAAGAACCAATCAAGCAAACACAACGAAAAATCACCAAATCGCTGCTCCGGGGACATGCGACAATTGTGATAAATATTCAGGTCAAATAGAGTTCGAAAACATAATATTTCAGAGGTTTAAAGTTAGTAGACGAATCTTGTCAAATATATCAAACTAAACCTTCGTGTACTGTTTGGGACATATATGGAGTAACTGATGGAATGTTTCTGTGACTAAAGTTGGGCTGAAAACTAGACATCTGAAACTTGCCAATCATATATTGTAGTTTCAGTAATTCATCCAAATAAGAGAAAACAACATGTTTAAAATCATGACTCAAATCTATCAAGAATATTCGAAAATTAGAGATTCGGGTTACATAGAGGAATTTTAACATGAAGATTTTTTTTATTATTTCATTTTTTATTTAATTTTGAATAATTATTTTGAACTTGAAATTTTATTTTAGTGTATTAGACATTATTTATGAGTATATTTTATTATTGAATTTATGTTAGTTAAGTACTAGTTTAAGCTCATTAGCTTTCAACCCAAAATGAGATTTTTAGGTTCATGTGTACTTCCTACCATTCAGTGATTTTCTTGTATTGAGAAGTTTTGTTTTAAGACCTTTTATTTCTCCATGACATTAATTTGTTGATTCATACTATTTATTTAGATCACTCATTGATTGTAATATTGTTGCTCATTTTATTAAATTTTGATGTAATTTAATTTCTTGGCTGAAATTATAAATATATAATTAGTCAAAAAAATAGTTATAATTTTATTATCCGAGTTTATATTGTATTTTTCATATCATGTCAAAAAAGCATTTTTAACAATCTTAAATGGACATTGTTTGGCCCCATCATGGAATATTTCAATCCTTCGAATGAGCAATTGTCTGCTAGCGAAAGCCACAAAACAAACCATGCATCCAGAATAACCTATATCGATATGATTATTAAAGATGGTGGTTTTTTTTATGTTTTCAATTTCATCCTCCATTATTTACTTGATTTTGAATGTTGTTATAAATTATTTTTATTTATTTTTTATTAAATCATCACAATCTCAAACAAGCATCATGATATTTAATTTACGTTTAATTTTATA